ATCAAAGCAGTGCCAAAACGAGATTACTACAACGTTCGGAAGGCATGTTTTTTGACGTAAATACTTTTTTCAACCACAATTTTTCTTCTCAGTTATGCTTCAACCGATGCATAATGATAACGAGGCATGCATGTTCTGTAACTCACACACACATCATTTGAAACAGCTGATGAAATATTATTCCGTGCTTGTAACAGACTCACTCTTCAAATCCGAGGTTAAATGTGTACTGATATATCTAATATTTTTAGGTTGACACGCATATCCATGCAACTGCCTGCATGAGCCAATTCTCGCTGCTGAAGTTCATGAGACGCAAGGCCAAAACAAATCCTGATGATATAGTAGCTGAGAAAGATGGAAAGAAGTTGACTTTACTTGAGGTTTGATGATATAAAGACTTATTAAGTTAAAGTGATATTATCTTCATAAACACAAATTTCTTTGTAAAGAATAGCCTTATTATAGTGCACGAAATATCCACTTGTTGAACGTATCTTGGCATTACAATCTTTTAACAATCCTATTTACGAAGGACTTAATGTGAACCGTACGTAATTAAAGTGAAGTTATATATACTTGTTTGCTTTTAGTTTTTTGACAGTCTCGGCCTCAATCCTCAACAATTGAGCGTGGATAGTTTGGATGTCCATGCGGTATGTAAAAAAACCATTCAAATTACAACCCCTAGTACTGATGGTCAGACATAAAAGTTTTATCATAGCTGGATAAATATTTGTTGTGTTTATTCAGGGCGAAGAAACGTTCAATCGTTTTGACAATTTCAACAAAAAGTACAATCCAGCTGGTATGTATAATTATAAAAAAAACAACAAATGTATAATTATAATAAAAAAAAACAATCGAATTTAATTATTCTTCTACCTAACCACCATTGTTTCTATTAATCCTCCCACACCGTGATTGTAATATATTACTGGACATTGCACATGGTTCTCTTCTTAAGATTAATAATGCTTGAATATAAACAGCATATAGAGTTGAAACAAAAGAAAGGAAGGTATTGTAGCATTCATGGACGGGTCTTCACTCGAATTTTTCAGGTCAAGGCGCTCTTCGAAAACTTTTCTTGAAGAAAAGTAATTACATGGAAGGTCAATATTTGGCTGAACAGATAAAAGGTGTCATGGATCTTCATGAAAAAAATAAATATGTCAACAGTGAATTGAGAATTTCTGTTCATGGAAAATATCCAGACGAGTGGCAACGACTAGCACATTGGGCCTTGCAATACAACATTCAGTCGCCCAATGTTCGTTGGATGATTCAAGTTCCAAGGCTTTTGTAAGTCTTTGCCAGTAGTTATTTGTCCTTTGTTAGGCAGATCTTTCAATCTCCAATTAAAGCATAGTTTTATTTACATGTATATCACTAACAAAAGTTGGGCGTAATCACTTGCGAGGTTTCGCGTACCTATCCCCACAGACAAAATATTTCTATCCTTATACAAGACGTCTCCGATGAATTAGCTACCACATATGAGTCGGAACTTTTAGGTCGGTGTCAGGTCTAGTATGCTACTTCTCTTTTTAATTTTTTATCTAAATCCTTTTGTGTCGCGAATATAGTGACATCTATCGTAAAAAAGGCAACTACAAGAGCTTCGCAGAAATGTTGCAGTTTCTTTTTGGACCAATGTTTGAAGCAACTATTAATCCGAAATCTCATCCTGAGATGGCCAAGTTTATGACCCAGGTAATAGAGAATCAGTACTGGACAATTTATCAATTCCTCGACGAATATTGAGAATATTTTTCTCCCTTTCTCTCTCTTACATTCACCAAGGTGATTGGCTTTGACTCAGTCGATGATGAGAGTATTCCGGAATTGACTCCATTCAATGAAGACAGTGAAACACCATCAAACTGGACTCAAGAGGAAAGACCAACATATGCTTATTACATTTATTACATGTATTGTAACATCATGACTCTTAACCATTTGAGAAGGTATGGAATTACAGAATTTGGAAAGCAACAATTCAAATGTTGCTTTCAATTGTTTAATTGTTTTAATCGGTTTTAAGTTTTGTTTTTAAATATTATTTAGTTCAATATGCCATTCCACAACTGTTGTCGCGTGCAGAAATTTACCATGTTATAATATTAAGTTTTTTTCCAACAGAGAGCGTGGAATGAATACATTTGTTTTACGTCCTCATTGTGGTGAGGCAGGTTCACCCAAACATTTGGTTGCAGGATTTATGTTGACTCAGAATATTTCTCATGGGCTCATGTTGCGCAAGGTTGGTGATTACATGGATGAGAAGTAAAGAACTGAAAAAAACGAATGTAACCCTCTCAGTCAGTGTCACCCCCTCACCAATAATTCCTCTCAATAAGTCCATCTTCCCAACGAGTCCATTGATCATGAATGCTATCCACCGCTATCCACCTATGTCCACATCTATAACAAGCCCGTATACCCCCCTCCCCCTCAAGAGGAACCATGAAGAAATCATGCTAACGCAAACTCATCTTATATTATTTCTTGTAGTCGCCAGCACTGCAGTACTTGTACTATCTGACTCAAATTGCTGTTGCCATGTCGCCACTAGCAACAATGCCTTGTTCCTTAACTACAATCAAAATCCATTCCCAGAATTTTTTGCAAAAGGATTGAATGTCACATTGTCTACTGATGACCCATTGATATTTCACTATACCCAGGTGGGTGAGTTATGCAGTTAAATTTTAAGACTGGCATAATATTGAATGCCATGCTCGATTATTTTTCTTACAGCAACCGCTGATTGAGGAATACAGTATTGCAGCACAAGTTTTCAAACTAACCGGAACAGATATATCTGAAGTAGCCAAGAACAGTGTCTTGATGTGTGGTTTTGAGGATGAGGTAGTTATACTTTGATTTGCCCAAAGACCAGATGCGGTTTTTCTCCTTGTCAAAATATGAGTAAGATATAGTTTCCATAGTTTAATACAGAGAGACAGTTTTTGCGCTAACGAGTTTTGAATATATAATAAACCTTTCTAGCACAAACGCCACTGGCTTGGGAAAGATTACGATAAAGACGGCTTGGCTGGTAATGACATAGCCAAAAGTAATGTTCCGGACACAAGAGTTGCATATCGTTATGAAACCTTGGTTCAAGAACTCACATATATTTGTAATATTGTGAAGAATGCCGCTGATGATGATGATGATGAAGATTGAGGGACTGGTATATGAGGCACGCACGTTAGCAGATTGTCATGCACGGGAAACGAGTGTCTAGTTGATAATTATTATATTGCACCAATCGTGAAATATTGCAGCACGGGTAGTGTATAAGTTCAATAAAAATTGCGAATTATATTTGCTTGTTTGATGCTAATTACCCAGTCCTGACTCCTGGGTTCATAAATCGAAGAAGTGTCACTGAACATGATTTTTATGAAGCACTGTGATCCGGAGGGGGATTTGTCATAACGAAACCACAAACGTCAATATTCGAATCGCATATAATTTAATTAGATCGCTAATTTGTTTTTATTGTAAAATTGTCATTGATCACACATCTTTTGCCAGTTCAGAATGCGATTATCCCCTTGTATATTTATTGTCTTATTTCATACTTCACGATGATTCCAGAAATTCTCGGATGAAATCATTGACAATCTGAGGTTCATCCTGCTGAACCCAATGACTTGCGCCACCAACAAACCTAAACAGCGAACATTTGTGAATTACACACCGCATTTTTGCCTCCTGATTTTGACAGGGAAACTTTCAAATCCATGCAGGAGTAATCAGGAGAAATACGTTATAAGAATATAAAGAATGTCTTGCACTGCATCCTAGTAATGATCATGCACAAGATCAAGCAATATCAGTTCATCTCGACCATATACCGCATGAAATCTCTGTAAGCAGACTGCCACATAAGTTTCCAATATACGCTACGTAACGCCATGCACGTCTAAACATCGAGTTAAAACGTTATAAAAACAATTTCACACCTGATTGTGGAATTCTCAACACATTCTGGGATGAAGTCTAAAGATTTCTTTAAGAGAAATGCATCTTGATCCCCCTAAAAAAGCCAAGTCAACTACTTTACCCAAAGAAGAGACCTAAATAACAGTTATATCAGTATATGGAATGACTTAAAACTATGGTTAGTGATCACGACCAACATTGCATTTGTGGCTATACTTAGTATACCTTACCCATACAATTAGTGTTGGCGCCGTAACACGTGGTTGGCCATCTTTTAGCCAATCATTATCAATATACATTGTAACAACATTTCTGTAGTAATTTAAAGCAGCAGTGAGCGCGCCAGGCTGCGATATTGCAAATTTGAAAGCTTCAATGTCCAGGTCGCTTATGTTGGTCGTATTTCGCACACCCTGTAAAGTATGGAATTTAGACAGACTTAAAATGAGAACACAGCAACGTCACAGACAACGTGAAAATGACGAATAAACTGCGAATAAAAACGCAATTTATCCGCCACACGTGTTTCACGTTGCTATCACGAGATTAAAATTCTTTTGTAAAGTTGACATCACCAAAGGCAAAGGTGTTTGTAAGACTGCTCTGTCTGCATTGAAACTTATTTCAAGTATTTTATGACAGCATAGCTAAATATATGTTCACTGTTACATGCATGCAGAGTTTTTTTATTTATTTAGGATATTTTTTAATGACTTACGGCGTACTTTCCACGAAATACCGCCCTTATGATTCTGAATTTTTTTAAGGATATAAATAATTCCGGTAAATATGGAAGTTGATACAGGAAAATGTACTAAACAAAAAATAAAACATCAAGAGTTACAACAAGCTTAATGTTTACCACAAATGAATATAAATTAATTAAGCAGTCTATATAATCCATATTTAAACTAGAAAAAGTCGAAATAATTTTTTATCATGTTGTAAATTAGGATTATATCATAGTCTTCAGTAAATTCAAAACAGTTCTACCAAGTTGGCAAGTAATATATCCGATAACTAGTTAATTCAATGGTTAAGAATATACCCAGCACATCAAAAATTGTTTCCAGCTTGACAAGAGGAAGTTCATAAATATTCTGGGGAAAAAATACAGAAACATTAACCGCACAACATTGTTTATAATTGAATTGAATGATTGAATTTAAAAACAAACAGACAATATCTCTGAAGTGTCACAAATTACTTTGGATGGGGGCAATTGAGAATCACAAGTTTATCCACAATTTCTGGAAAACGATGGGCCACAGACCTAAGTGACAAAATTTTACACAACGACTCTTATCTCTTAACAAGATTTAGTTTTCACAGACAGATCGAACACGAAATCAAAAGTCATGTTTTGCTTTTAGGGTGAAAATGGCAGCATATATATGTTCACGGTACCAGGATATTAATCCGCCCCAATCATGTCCAACAAGAGTACATGAAGTATAACCAAGTGCTTCAACCTATATAATTATATAGAGTAAGCGTTACATTGTGCCCCTGTGCAGTGTGCATGTATCACTCAGCTAGTGCCAGTGGCGTTGATGCACGACACTTGAAAGGAGGGGAACATATCCATATATTCTTGCTTTAAAGCTAAAGAACAATATGGCAATTGGTTATGATATATATAAAGGCTAGTTCATACGCGGTTTTGAAGATTATCTGGGTGTTACCGCCCATGCACTTATTATAGTCCATGGCCACTCACTATTTCTTTTACGTCCTCGGCGAGATAGTTTATTTTATAAAGAGATGTTTTTTCTGGTTTGTCGCTGAATCCATATCCCCTGCAAGTGCGGGTAACAACAAGAATTTTATCTAATGAAGTTCATAACTCATTAAGTTAATTACATACGAATACAACAATTAAAACGGCTTCAATTAACAAACGCTATTTGGCAATGCTGCGAGAATTTCCTATCGAAAAATTATAAGGAAAATAATGATGAAAGTGAAATCGTACAGTGGGATGAAGACGTGTTTGGAGTAAGGCAATTTCAGATTTACCTCAAGTCAACCGCAACAGCACGATAATCTTTACAAAATTCTTTCAACTGATAGCGCCACGAATACCAAAACTAGAAAATTCAATCTTTAATTATAAAAGTATATTTCTCGGTATTTTGACTTTCGTTGTAAATAATTACGAACAATTATAATTTACAATTTGATTCGAAAACATTGTTACGAGTTACTATTTGTAATTGTTGAATTATTCCTACAAATTTAACTGACTCAAGAAATACATATGGCTATGGAAGTACATTCAAAATTCCGATATGTATTAAACAGAGAATTTCACCTCAGGAAATCCATGAAGAAACAACATCAACGGTTGACCAACATCGCCATTAGCAACGTAGTGAAATGTGATTTTGGATTTTGTTGTAACATAGTTGTGAATACCAAGGTTTTTGTCTTCAAGACAGGTTGGTGCTAAATTAAGTATTTTTAGTTAACAACAGTGAGAATATTTCAACAATATTTCAGTCCATTTCTTATGTGTTAGACATGTGCTAAACCGCCCAGAAAGTACCGCAAATGTACGGAATAAATTATTTACATCTATTTACAATATTTATGCAGTTCTTAAATAGGACAATTGCAGTATTCAATAGCAAAAAGCAATCATAATCAGTACCAAGATTAAAATTAGCTCGAATATTTGGCCTGTGTACGAACTATGACGTCACTTTTCATGTAGCCATCGTTTCATTTTTTAGGCATTTAGTTATTTTATTAATTTGACTCCTCGGCCTGAGACTAACGTTATATACAGAATTTACAACAGAAAGTTCTGCCACATTCAGCGCTTATTCAGGTCTAGCTAATGCAGTCTTTAAAATCACTGACTTTTTAGTTTTTACTTACTGTAAAAACTGTAATGTAAAATGCATTGTGTTCGGTCTATATAGCACAGACTCACAGTGGGGACAAATTATCCAAATCTAGACGAATTTGGATGGAGAAAGAAAAGCTAGTCCGTTCCTAGACAACCTTCAGATTACAAGATTACGAAAAGTTCGTATCAACGAATTATTCCACAGGGAGCCCAGAACGGAGTTCTTCTAAAATCGCGATTTGATCACGTTCTCGTCCTGAATTTCTGTACCTGGTTAAAGTATACAAATTTTGCAAGGCTACATTTTTCTTATTTTTCAACATTCTGCAAGCAAATTTTGTAGTTTTTCTTGCCCAATTTAAAAATTAGTCTAGTATTGCAAAAGGTCTATTGGTAGGCAAGTTTAGACTTTTAGATGTTTTCAATCCTTTGCACCTTTTTCTTTTTTTGTTAAATAGAGTGGCAGTGGAGTGGCAGTCACATTGCAAGTACTATCACCTTATACTGTCATCTTTATACATTTGACTAGATTTACACATATAGCAATGTAATTTCAAAATAATATTGTCACTATGATAATCAGAGAGGCGGATGACACTTTTTATTCCAATATCTTATGACTCATGTAGTCATCACATGATATCCTTCATCACAAATGATGAGAAATATGCAAGATCAATAATCCATATATGCATATAATCTATATATACACTAAGCTTAAAGATGGAAATTCACCCCGGCTAGTACCGATATACACTCCTTACTGTCTCCCATAGGCAGGATACTTAACCAAAAAACATAAAAAGGAGAAATTGGTGTCAATGGCTGTCAGGTTTTAGGGGATTTAGGCAGAAATAAGTAAGAATGAACCTTGTGTTTATACATGAAGAGATATCAACCAAAGACTCTATTTAATATGGAATTATCAATGCTTTAGCCAACAGGAAAATATTTAAATACTAAAAAACTGATAGCAATAGTCTAGCTGTAAATATTTGCTGCTTTGCCCAAACGACAGTTTTTACTTTATTATATAAATATTTCCCTTTTAGTTTTAGCTAAGGTCTTGAAATTTCTACTGTAAAAAAGGTTGCTAAATAGCTTCTGGTTGATATACAGTTAAAATTTTGGTTTTATGTATATCTTGCCTAAAAACCAAAACAACTGCTGCATATCTAGTGCAGCTATACAAAAATATGGAGGCTCTCTATATATATTTTATGATTTCAGTTGTTGTAGTTCAGTTAATAAGTATTGGCTGTACATTTGGGGCTAAAACGAGGAGTATTTGCGGTTACTGTATGATATTTGTGGATACAAGCCTAGGTAATTTATGGATAAATATAGTCAATATTTCAGTAATTTCACTGATATTGCCTAACTAGTGACAACAAAAATTGAGACGACGTTATTACCCTGCTCTATCGGTACCGACTTAACAACTACGGTACCCTCTCGAATAATGCTCCATATCAAACGACAAAACACCATACAACCATAAAATATTCCGATAGAATACATGAAGGCAAAAGCCATTATTCGTTTGAAAAATAAAACCATGATTTTCGTAGCTTTTCGTACCGACACAGATCTTAATAGTTGCTCTTTTGGAGTTTGGACTTTATTTTCACTTTGACCGATACTTCGTCTTGCACGCATATTTTGGATGATTGGATCTCGATTTTAAGAATTTACAATATTTAATTGTTTAATTTAGCATTAAATATTTGCACAGAGAATATAACATAAAAAATGGTCTAGAGGCCGCCTTTCCTCTCAGCTTGTCAGTTGCAGGGTTGCCAAAACCTATGTCAGTTATGTCAGTAAGACATGGCGAGGCCCGCCCCTTGCCCCTGCATAACCAATAAAGCATTATGAAATATGGTTGATTTTCATATAATCGCTAAATTTTTGTTCAAGGGCGTAACTAGAACGATATTCTTTCCCGGCTCAGAGAAATAATAAAAGAACTTTTTTTACTATAAGAAAGGCCTATTAATCATATTATTTAAAATATAAGATTAACCAATCAGGATAATTGTTGGACTGTCAGGTCGGGTGTGTTCAGCCAATAGCATAGCTTTATTTTCCAACACGAGGAGCCGGGAAAATGAAATATTTCATGTAGTCTTCAAAATTTGAGGCGTCATTTTGGCCATAAACTTCGAAGCATAAAGATGAGTTATATTTACGGCTGAAAATTTCGACTAACATTTCTACTGAGACAAATGTCCTTGACTAAGATCCTGTTCTCGTTTGCAGAAGAAAATTTTAGTATCTTTGCTGCTCTGTCGTTAGTGTAAGAACAGGTAATATCCCTTTACGATTATCTGCTTGCTCAATCGAGGGATCTTGAGTGAGATCCTGGTTCAATATAATTGCCCTGAAAGACACGTGTTTGACTCGTCGCTTATAACACTAACGTTGTTTTTTATTCACAGCTCGCAGAGCTTTTACGACTCGAAGTCAAGTTTGACGATCAAACTCGTGAACAAGAGACGGATAAATTGTGGCCGAAACTGCTCAAGATAACTCGCCTTTCAAGAGAGAGCACGACTAGCTATTTCTCGGAGCTTATTGGTGAAATGACAAAGGTATAAACGTTAAATCGTATGCGAATTAATCATGCAGGGTTTAGATCAAGCAATCAGCTGCACCCTAGCAGCTAACCATCTCGCGCTTTAATTTCAAATCCCTTTGGATGGAGTTCTAAAGCCCTTAAAAACTAACGTTCCCTTCTATCCTTTTCAGGTAGAGTTTTAGAGCTAAAGCTAAACTAAAGACGAAATGTACTGTACAAATACGGCACCTGAGAAAATTACGGTTGACTGAATTTCCTAAGAACTGAATTCTACTCGCGTTTAAGGAGACAGCAAGTCCAAAGCTGCTCTTTCTCAACTTGCTGCTGAAATGAACAGGTAAACTTATAAGTGTATATCTATTTTGTGTCTAATAGATTCACAAGAGGATGAGAAATTGAAACGCTTGATCCGCAGGCTTCGTGCTTTGTCTCCTCTTTCACCTGATTCGATCGTGCACTTAAACGAAAGTTTTTCTCTAATATTTTGAGCTCGTTTTATTGAAGCGAACTTCTTTGAATCACCGTCTATAACAAGCATTACCTTTGTTTTATTTCAGGTGGAGATTTAGCGAGTTAAAACCATATGAAACGAAGATAAACCTGTTCATAATAAAATGTAAGTGTCAGCGATTGAATATTTTTGATAGAGCGAACAATGGGGAGCTTAAGCTGATTTAGGACGGGAACCATGACGGCTGAATATACAATAGTAGAAAATTCATAATAGGCGAGAGTAGAAATAATTAAAATCCTACAGGCATTTTATTGACGTCGTTTATAGTCCATACACAACAACAAAGTGATGTAATGATTTTATTTACAAAGTCTGCTTTAAGAATAAAGAAAGTAATGATCGAGTAATAGTAAAGTATACAACGTTTTCTAACGTATTCCAAAAGTTAACAAAATTACTGTATTAATGCGATTAATTATTCTTATCGTCACGCTGGGCTCCCCAAATTATACGGTCCCAAGTTAGAGAAAAATTCAGCTTCCTGCATGCATAATGCGTTATATTGAACGGAAAAATTATACAAAACTTAAACTCTTCTACTATATGCTTATTTTTTATCCTAAATCTTATTTCAGGTTGATAATAAATCACGGCTGGGTTGAACTATAACCAACACGGCAAAACGACGCCAAATTTTAAAGACCCAAACGACGCCAAAACGACGCCAAAACGACGCCAAAACGATACAACGTCGAACAGCAGCGTATATCAGCGATGTTCCCCCCCAACATCGTTAAAGGTTAGAGTAGCCTGGTGGTCAAAAAATGTGCATGCTAGGGTTAAAATGTTATTTCGCACGAAAAATGTTCTACGAACAATCCTTCTGCAAAGCAGAAGTTTATTGTTCGTCTTAAGGGACGCGATGTTCTTTAAACTATAACACTTGTCAGTTACCTAGGTCCTGGCCACCAGGAACATAGCTAATGCATGATGCATGTGTAAATAAATTTGCATGGGAGTAAATTTTTAAAAAATTCGGTTATAGGATCCGGTTTTGCGCTTAAGGGCTGCTCGCTGCGCTTAGGGCTACGCGCTAAGGTTTGCATGTTCAAACTAGGGCCGGTTACATATGTCGAAAACATGAATTTTCATACACGAAATGGTTTAAAAAGCCATGCACACGAGCATAAATCACCGCCTCAAATGGCAAACATAATCCCATAGGTTCTTACTCTGTTCCATCTCTCGGAACTGTTATTCTTAAGAAATTTGCGGCTCCGAATGTAGGTTGTAATAATATAAAACAAACACTGTTTTGTACATATACACACACTATAGCCTCATATGGCAAACATAATCCCGTAGGCTCTTTCTTGTTCCCATTTCTCCCTCTTTCTTGTCTTGTCCTGTTGAAATAGTCTTTACCAGGCCACATGCGGCTTTCGGAAATATATATAGATTGTATAAAATTATGAATTGTAAATATACTATTATCTTGCATGGTTTACTATATTTTGTAATAATGGAATAATTTAATACTAATGTATATATATAACTGATTACATAATAATTTGAAACACATGAGCAAAACACTAATACAAATTAAATCATGAAAACCATACGGCCTTTATAATGGCAAACATAATCCAATTAATAAGGCTTCTAGGTTCTATTTCTCTTGTCTCTTGTTACATACACTACCTTACTACAAATCATAAATACATCAACCTATATATAACAATATGATTAACGCACACTTCATAAAAAACGTATATACATGAAAAATAAAACATGCTCTCAATGAATTTAAATTTACTTGGGAAATAGGGGAAGGCTGTGCATGGGGGTTGTCATGTTATCTCGTAGCGATATATACATTATTCCTACATTAATTAAAAACAAATCAAGAGACGAACATGGGCAGTGGCATTGCAATTTTATTATTTTTCTAAGGTCTCTGTGAGACTTCCAATCATTTAGCATCGTCGATCAGTGCTTATGAAAAGAAAGGCGCCACTTTTCGTCTGTACTGTTTGACTTTGCTGATTGGTTCGAAGTGTTAGCAGGTATCTTGGGATATCTAATAACCTTGCAGTGTTTTTTTCATTGCTGTTTCTGTAAGGACAGCTTGCTTTGGCTTTATGCCTTGGCTCTGAAAAAGTTCAGTAAATTTTTCACAAAAAAAAATTGTGCTCGATGCTCTTCTGTAAGGGCAGTTTGCTTTGGCTATACGCCTTTGCTCTGGAAGTGCTAAGTCCATTTTCCACAGAAAAAAAGTAGCAACTCGGTGCCATTTCTAAAAGGGGGAGCTTGCTTAGGCTATATGCCTTGGCTCTGAAAGTGTCCAGTCAAATTTTTCACAGGAAAAAATTTTTACTTTGTGCTGTTTCTGTAAGGGCAGCTTGCTTTCGGCTTTAATTAAAATCTATGCACCGAAGTTGTAAATTCCATGAACTAACAATTATTAAAAAAACTCTTAGGAACACTGCCCATGATTTGTCAACGGAATAATTTTGGTTTATGAACGAATAGGGCTTTCAAAATTCACCCAGATATCGATACAATAGAACAAAATCTACACGAGCATGTGCCCCTTACGTATAGATGCATGCAAATAGAATATGAATTGAATAAAATACATATATAAATGAAAAGAATAGAGAAGAGTGAACTCTACACTTGCATACATGTAGAACAGAATGAACGATCATTTTCATACAGTACATGCATTCAAATACAAGACAAATACAATACAATAGAATAAAATATATACACGACAATGGTGCAATATAAATGCATTCAAATAGATCTAATAATAAAATACATACACATGCAAGCTACATATTATAAAAAACCAAGCATTATGTAAGACGTAGACATATTCTGAATCTATTTGTATTACTGTAAAGAGAACAAACACGTTTTGTAGCACATGAACGATGAAGTAGTAATAAAAGTAGGAAAAAAATTAACCGTTTCCCTGTCTCTTGATTTCAATAGCTAAAAACAAACAAGCTTTGTAACACATGATTGAATGATAAAGTTGTAATAAAAGGAGAAAAATTATTTGTTTCCTTGTGTCTTGATTTCAATAGCTATAAAAACAAACACACTTTGTAAAACATGTAAAACACACGCTTTGTAATACATGATATTATGTTAATAAAATACTAAAAACCTGTGTATCGTATTTATTTCCGGCGTTCGGTGAGGGTTTTCCTCCAGGATCTCTGGTTTCCCTCGTAATCAAAAACAGTGTCCGTGTGTTCGGGACCGCGTTTATGGTTGGTTTTCCATTAATGACAAATGACAATTCCTTTCTTTATGGAAGCCTAATATCATTTTAAACATATCTTTGAATCCGTCTCTTTAAAAAATCAGACGTTTGCCCTATAATATACTGAATGTATAGTTAAGTGTTGTACAATTTCTCGTATGATAAATGCCTTAAATTGCAAAACATACAAGTTAATGGAACCTGACTGTACACACGGTTACTGGGTTAAATTCCCGGTACACTGCTTTCTCTGAACAAATTGAAATGCATATTTTTTGTCGATTCGAAACTTGGAAGAAAAA